AATTATTATTTTCTTATTAAAACAAACATATAATTATATTAATAGTATAATAGGTAATAGGTATAATAAATATGTATTAATGTTAATTACTGTATTTCAGAACCTGAACAATGTAGAATCTATTTACTTGTACATGTAATAATCCTTGTTCATCCAGCATATCCTGATGCAATATTAAAATCAGAATGCATTCTAATTAATGTTAACAAACATTGATAAATGCTGTAATAAATGTGTTGTGTTGTTTGTTTATGTTAAGAAATACATTATCGATTAAAACTATCCTGTAATTTATTTAATCATGAATACAGTAATCTTATAAAATACTGTTTCAATTTCAAAACAACTGTTTCTATATGATCTCCTAAATTCCTTTGTGCAATATTTAATATTAATACTAATGAATCTGAAAAGTGTATAAATGTAGTCTTGATGAAAAGCGTAAACGTCTGTGTTTAATATTCCTGCTCAAATATAGTTGTGTAAGAGCTCTGTCTGGTTTCCCCCTCTCTTCTTCCTTCATCTGTTTTGTATTCATGGGATTTGTCAGCGTTGAAAATGCAGATGCCACTGTGATTGCACTCATTTGTTTCAGCAGAGATTTTGACGGCGTAAAACAGAACCAACATCAAACTTTATTAGCGGCGGCTCGTCGGAGCGCGGCGGCGAATCGTCTCAATACTGAAATGACTGGAGGAGTGTGTGGCGGATGCTGACGCGGCGAGCGCTTGATGGAAATCACTGCTGAAGTGACATTTACAAACCATCTTGGCCTGTCAGTCTTGAGGACGGGTTCATGCGTCTCTGATTAGGCATCTGCCGTGACCTCTGACCTTTCAGTGTCGCATGCGAACCCAGCCTAAAAATGATGCAATCAGCCCTAATGAGACGCTACACAAATGAGTCTGTCGCCGCACATCATCGGTGACGGCTCACAAATGCGTGTAAAAAGGTAACAAGTGGCTGGAGGGTGAGAAAGCGTGCCAAAATACCTACGAGCCAAACACACACACACACACACACACACACACACACACACACACACACACACACACACACACACACACACACACACACACACACACACACACACACATGAAGGTCACTGATTTTAAGGAGCAAACCCTCTCAAATACCAGTCTAGACGTCATCAGGCATGAATGTACTGGGGTGGCACCCTGAGATCGGTTGTGTCGAGTAAATTGGTGGAATTGTCAATTCTGTTACTGCAATATTTTGATGAATTTCTCATTTGCTTTTTAAAATCAATAATGATGAATGTGTGTAAAATTGTGTTTTAGACATGTCAGGAGGTTTTGTGTTTGAGGTTAGCATCTTGGGCCACAGCGCATAATGCTGCAAAATGGCAACTCTGTTACAAATCTTTTACATCGACTCGATTAATAACGACTCGGTTACAGGGACCTCTGTTACTGTTGACTGTTGTTAGCGTTGACTCGGTTACAGTGAGCTCTGTCACCATCAACTCTGTTCTCATCATCTTTTTTTATCCTCGACTCTATAATCGTCAACTCTGTTACTGTCAACTCTGTTACCATCACATCAACTCTGTTAGAGTCAACTCTGTTACCTATAACTGTTACCGTCACCGTCAACTCTGTTACCGGCAACTCTTTACCGACAACTCTGTTACCGTCATGTCAACTCTGTTACAATCACTGTCAACTCTGTTATCGTCACCGTCAACTCTGTTACCGTCACATCAACTCTGTTACAGTCACTGTCAAGTCTGTTACCGACAACTCTGTTACCATCATGTCAACTCTGTTACCATCAACACTGTTATCTTCACCGTCAACTCTGTTACCATCAACACTGTTATCTTCACCGTCAACTCTGTTATCGTCACTGTCAACTTTGTTACAGTCACCGTCAAGTCTGTTATCGTCAACTCTGTTACAGTCTACTCTGTTACAGTCAACTCTGTTACGTCATGTCAACTCTGTTACAATCAACTCTGTCACCGTCAACGCAAAGTCTGTTACCAACAACTCTGTTGCCATTACGTCAACTCTGTTACTGTCACCTCTGTTACGGTCACCGTCAAGTTTGTTACTGTCAACTCTGTTTTCGTCAACTCTGTTATTGTTACCGTCAACTCTGTTACCGTCATGTCAACTCTGTTACAATCACTGTCAACTCTGTTATCGTCACCGTCAACTCTGTTACCGTCACATCAACTCTGTTACAGTCACTGTCAAGTCTGTTACCGACAACTCTGTTACCATCATGTCAACTCTGTTACCATCAACACTGTTATCTTCACCGTCAACTCTGTTACCATCAACACTGTTATCTTCACCGTCAACTCTGTTATCGTCACTGTCAACTTTGTTACAGTCACCGTCAAGTCTGTTATCGTCAACTCTGTTACAGTCTACTCTGTTACAGTCAACTTTGTTACGTCATGTCAACTCTGTTACAATCAACTCTGTCACCGTCAACGCAAAGTCTGTTACCAACAACTCTGTTGCCATTACGTCAACTCTGTTACTGTCACCTCTGTTACGGTCACCGTCAAGTTTGTTACTGTCAACTCTGTTTTCGTCAACTCTGTTATTGTTACCGTCAACTCTGTTACCGTTAACTCTTTACCAACAAATCTGTTACGTCACGTCAACTTTTTTCCCGTCAACTCTGTTACTGTTAAGTCTGTTACCAACAACTCTGTTACCGTCACTGTCAAGTCTGTAATTGTCAAGTCTGTTATTGTCAATTCTGTTATCGTCAACTCCGTTACCTTCACCGTCAACCCTGTTACCGTCAACTCTGTTACGTCAGTCAAGTCTGTTATCATTAAGTCTATTATTTTCAACTCTGTTACCGTCACCGTCAACTCTGTTACCATCAAGTTTGTTATTGAAAATGCGTGAAATGTACCTGCAGATTTAAAATAAGTTGTATAATTATTTTGTTAATTATATTTGATCTATAAGCCATAGTTATCATATGATATATTTCATAATTGTGTGACATGGTGGCTCAGTGGTAAGCACTGTCACCCCACAGTTCGAGTCTCGGCTGGGTCAGTTGATGTTTCTGTGTGGAGTTTGCATGTTCTCCTCGTGTTGGTGTGGGTTTCCTCCGGGTGCTCCGGTTTCCCCCACAGTCCAAACACATGCGCTATAGGGGAACTGATCAACTACACTGGCCGTAGTGTATGAGTGTGTGTGTGTGTGTGAGTGTGTGAGTGAATGAGTGTGTGTTTCCCAGTACTGGGTTGCAGCTGGAAGGGCATCTGCTGTGTAAAACATTTGCTGGATTAGTTAGCGGTTCATTCTGCTGTGGCAAACCCTGATGAATAAAGGGACAATGAAGAAAGGAATATTTCATAATTTTCATATTTCATATATTTATATTATCATCTCCTTTCCTCTGTGTTTTCATGATTCTGAAAGATCATTTTGATTGTGTTCTGATTATTGTAGTATGATTGTTTTGTAGGTTCAGTAATTTCACTTTTATGGCAAAAAAAAAAAAGTTCCTTTCATTAATGTGAAACACTGAACATCAACACAGGATGCTGAAAAAAAGGCTTATTTTAGACAACATTTAGAGCTTATTTCTCTCATCTGAACTCTTCATATGTAGAGCATTCAATAAATCCACAAAAGCCATGCAGTGATGCTTGCTTCAGTGTCATAATTTTCATGCCACCCCATAAATAATGTTGTAGATCCGCCTCTGGACGTCATCTATGAAACATGTGCCCATTAAACACAATGATGCCCGAATTACAGTGAAATGCTGAGCGCGGAGCTCCAGATGGTGTGTGCTCAAACGCTGGAGATTCTGCATAAACCCGTCAGGAGCTGTAAAAACAGAGCGCAATAATCTGCTTTCGTAACTCGAGCGCATTTACGGCTCTTATAAGCACCTGCACATTGTGGCGCCGCCGGCGGATCGACTCTAAACTCAAGTGTGTGAGTGTTTATGAGATGCTAATAGGCTAAACTAGCAGTGGCGTGGTGCTTTTGCGAGTGCATTTACTTGGATTTAACAAACGCTCTTCCGTCATTATAAACTCTGTGCATTTGAGCCCGTTTCTCTTTCGGTTACACAAACCAGAGTAAAACATTTATCTGACCGACATCAGCAAAGTTACTAAAATGCCATGATCTTACGCATCACAGGATTCCTTATATGTTATGTTTACATATGCAAATGAGACATTATCTAAGTAAACAGACTCATTTGCATTCATTTGCATTCAGAAGAGTCAGGTTTAAATGCTTTTATATCCTCTGACCTTGTTGACATTGGTTTGTACAAAGCCTGCATTAGACATCTCAGAATACTGTAAACAGACATGAAATATGATTCATATGTTTAAAAGTTAAAGGTTATATAAATCAGGTCACTGATTTATGAAAAAGTCTTCATGGACAGGAATAAATCTGTGAAGTGGTGTGTGCCATCCCAATATAGACAGAAATACATGTATTAAGTATGGTGTGTATAATACATTAGAATAAATGTGTGAAGTTTATAATATGCACATTAAGTGCTGCTAAAAGATTTCGGACTCAAGTCCAAGGAATGGTACATATAAACGTGTACTTTGAATACTTTCTTAAAGTACCCATGAAATCAAAACTAACCCGATTGGTTTTGCTAGTTTTGTGCTGAAACAGTTCATCTGTGCGTGTCAGTAAGTAATAGTTGGTAATAGTTTGCCCTACTAATCGTTAATTGAAATCTGCAAATGCACTTGCTGTTTTTTTCAGATTATTTATTTCTTAGGAAATGGGTGTGGCTAACATACTAACCACGCCCCTTCAGCTGTCAGTTTTGAAAACAAACAAAAATGGTGAGCAGGATGAGTCTGTAAATTTATTTCATAAATAATAAAACGCCTACTTTACTACATCCAATCAGCTTGCAGTAAAAAAAAACAAGCCACGCCCACTTTTTGTCATTTATTATTCTGTTTCTCTAGGAACTGCAACACAATATGAAAAATAATGGTCACAGCTTCAAGTTCATTGGGACTTTAAGTTAGTTTGATAGACAATTTGTGATGTAAGCTGTTGTGGTGTGCAGTACCTCGGTCTGGACCATGTTGACGCGGCGCGACCGCAGCTCCCGCACACAGTTGTAGATGTCGACCACACCCTCCCGCTCCGCCATGTCCAACATGATGTCAATCACGATAAAGCAGCCTGTTCGCCCCGCCCCCGCACTGTAAACAGCCAATCAAAACACAGATCAATTACATAACTACATGAAAAACACCCAACCACCCACGTCAATCAAAAGAAAAAGCAAAACAAGGGAAAAAGTATAATGAAGCAGCCCATTCACCCCGCCCCCACACCAACAACCGACCAATTGAAATAAATCACAACAGGAGAAAATGTATAATAAAGCGTCCATCCGCCGTCAACCAACCAGTCTGAACACAGATCAAAATCAAAAGAAAACCCATAATGAAGCAGTCGTTTGCCCCGCCCCAACACCATCAATCGACCATTAAAAATAAACCAAAACTAGAAAGAAATTATATTAAAGAAGCACATTGGCTCCGCCCCCACTCCATCAACTGACCAATCAAAACAAATCAATACTAGAAAAAATTATAATGAAGCCGCCTGTTTGCTCCGCCCCTACATCATCCCTTGACCAATCTAAATAAAAACTAGAACAAAAGTATAATGAAGCTGCCTGTTTGCCCCGCCCCCACACTTTAAACCGACAAATCAAAACAGAGCAATACTAGAAAAAAAATTATAATAAAGCATTGTTGGCCCCACCCCAACACCTTCAATCAACCAATCAAAATAAACCAAAACTATTAAAAATTATATTAAAGCAGCACATTTGCTCCGCCCCCACACCGTCAACCAGCCAATCAAAATAAAACAATACTAGAAAAACATTATAATGAAGCAGCCTGTTTGCCTTGCCCCACATGATGAATCAACCAATTAAAACAAATCAAAACTAGAAAAAAAATTATAATGAAGCAGCCCGTTTGCTCCGCCCCCACATCAATCGACCAATCTAAATAAAAACTAGAAAAAAATTATAATGAAGCAGTCTGTTTGCCCCCCCCACCCCCACACCTTCAACTGACCAATCAAAATAAAACAATACTAGAAAAAAATTATAATGAAGCAGCTTGTTTGCTCCGCCCCCACAACATCAATCAACCAATCTAAATAAAAACTAGAAAAAAATTATAATGAAGCAGCTCGTTTGCTCCGCCCCCACAACATCAGCCGACCAATCAAAATAAAAACTAGAAAGAAATTATAATAAAGCAGCACATTCGCTCCGCCCCATACAATCAACCGACCAATCAAAACAAATCAATACTAGAAAATAATGATAATTAAGCAGCCCGTTGGTCCACCCTCACACCTTTAACCAACCAATCAAAACAAATAAATACTAGAAAAAAAAGAAACAGTAAGTTTTCTCCGCCCCCCCAAAAAATTCAATACTAGAAATACAAATCAACAATACCAATGAAGCAGCCCATTTGCCCCGCCCCCACACCATCAAATGACCAATCAAAAAAAAAAATCAATACTAAAAATAAATTACAATAAAGCCGTCCATTTGCCCCGCCCCCAAACCATCAACCGACCAATCAAAACAATTTAATACAAAAAATAAACAATAAAGCAGAATGTTTGCCCCGCCCCCATATAATAAACCAAAACCAATCAAAACTCTTCTAGCGCACAGATGCTCAGTGCTGGCTGTGCTCCTGTACCTGCAGTGGACGGCGATGGGTCCGGCGTTGGTGTGTGTTTTGGCTTTGACGCGTCGCACAAAGCCCAGCAGACCCGTGGCGTGATACGGCACACCGTGATCCGGCCAGCCCGTGAAGTGGAACTGACTGATCTCACGGATCTCATGAGCTCCTCGCTGCACAACACACACACACACACACACACACACACACACACACACACACACACACACACACACACACACACACACACACACACTATTCTCAATACAGTTGCAGCAGGAGTTTATAGAGTTTATTCTTCAGGTAGGAGCGGCTGGAGACGTCCGCTCTCATTCACCTGCTCTCAGTAACAGCTCATTCTGCTGCTGCTGATGCAAACAGATATCTTCTTATCATATTACTCTACTGTTTATGATTAGTCATGGACACACTTGATTGACTGTTCTCTGTCCTTTGTTATTCCTAGTCATTCTCATTGAAGGAAACAAGCGCACTTGCCATCGCAGAATAAGCTCAATATGATCAGCTTGTTTGTTTACAGATTTCATTTGTGCATCTTCATTCGGCGTTCGTTTGGACATGTCTAATTAGTTCAAGTGAATATGTCAATATTTTTATTTCAGTATCTTTATTTGAATACTGTATACTGTAATGCTGCACTCTATAGAGTTTCTATGAATAAATCTCTAACAGAGACTTCTCTGACCATCAGACAATGTCTGGCTGCGTCCCAAATGCATACTTTCATACTATATAGTATACTGTAAACAGTTTGAGTAGCATGTCTGAATTCATAGAATTGTAAAATCAGTATGACCGACTACTTCTGGCGACATTCTGAAGTGCGCATCCGATGCACGCTACGCGATCCCATGATGCACTGCGAGAGACTTCATGAATGGCAGTGAAGCAAGCAACTGATGCAGGTAGGTCACGTGATCATGACAAAATAGCAGATGTAGTATGTCCGAGGTAAAGTCTAGATTGGATATACAGCCAGCCGGAAGTGCGATATGCACATAATAATAATTCCTTATAGTTATACATCGGTTTTCTGGACACTCAAAGTGCTGTACACATTGGGGGAATCTCCCCATCCAGCACCAGAGCGCAGCATCCACCTGCAGAGAGCAGCCATATTGCTCCAGACCGCACACCACACACACCAGCTGATTGGTGGAGAGGAGACAGAGTGATAAAATTCCATGACTTTTGCATGATTTTTCCAAGACTTTTAAGTAAATTTTCATGACCTAATGTTTCATGCAATGTCTACATATGTGTGGTAAAAGAAAAACCAATGCATGCGCAAATTTATTACCGCATACCGTAAAACACGCAACAATCTATTTAGCTTAAATGTATAGTTATATCTATGTCAGATTGATTTATGTGAGAGTGTGTGACTGGCCAAGGACAGAAATGAAGTAAATAACCTAGATTCAAGTATACAGATATGTGTTTCCCAAAACTTGTGGGTTTTTCTGTTTTTTACAAAACTTTTCCAGGCCTGGAAAATGCCATGTCAAAACTCCCCAACACCCCAACCCTAAACCCAACCGTCACAGCACTGTAAAAATATGAACTATAGTTATACAGTGTCATATAAAATGCTGCTATATTGATGTGCATATCACACTTACGGTCAGCTGCATATGCGATCTAGACTTTACCCTATAATCCTCAGTTAATTCATCTTTGTGACCAGCTTTAAGAGGAGCTGTGATGTAATCACGTTTAACGTTTAGTGAATGTATTTTCCAGTTTCCTCACCTTCTCCACAGCAAACGTCCTGATGACGTATTCAGACAGAAGCTGTGTCTCGATCAGCGTCACCTTGATGTCTCTGTAGATCTCAGTGTCGTCCGGCCAGTACTTGCAGCATTTCACCTGAGAAAAACACACCAACACAACTGGAGATCAGAGATCAGACGTGTGTGAGTGTGTGTGTGTGTGTGTGTGTGTGTGTGAACTCTGTTACTGTCATATTTCAGTCAATTCACTTTAGAATATTAATTACAATAATATGATAAAAATGCCCAAAACAGTGCGTTTTAGACACACTATGTGGAGAAAATGTCAGCTCTCTTATCGTTTAATAGGGTGAACAATAAGTTAAACAATAATTCAGAACAATCAAATGATCACATTTAAGCATTTTGCATAATTTGTCCTTAATAATGGATTCAATTTACTGCAAGTTATTCATTTGGTGTATATCATTCCAGTTTAAGAGAAATGAATGGAAACTGTTTGAAATCTATAGCCACAATCCAGGGCTGAGTGCTACACTGGAGCATCAGAATCTCAGGATCTGACGTGTCTGTCAAACTCTGTCATGTCTGACCTTTAATCTGAAACCGTGATGCTCAGTTTCAAATGTCACCTGATCACATGAAATTAAACCTTAGGCAGAGGTGTGAGGCCACTCGCTGCTGATTAACACACATATTGATCCAGATTCAGATCGATGTGCTGCAGACGAGAAAATGATGGAATCGCCGCTCGTTTCACCAGCGTTAGCTCCTGTTGATTAGATGTCTCAAACTATAAGCAGCTGAACGTGATCATGGAGAACTCATTTATCCCAGGACGTTTACAACAGCGATAGAAACCAATATAACCACAGTGACCACAGGTAAATGGAGATCAATAACCTCCTGAGGAAACACTTCAGTTATTTATAGTAAACACTGCAGAGATTTTGAACCATAGTACAGCACTTCAAATCATCTGATATTAATAAACCTCAGTGTGGTAATTTTGTTGTTGCTATGGTAACACAAAAACAAAAGTGATTGATCTGTTGTGGTAATTCTATTGTTGCTATGGTAACACAAAAACAAAAGTAATTGATCTGTTGTGGTAATTCTATTGTTGCTATGGTAACACAACTAAAGTAACCGATCGCTTGTAATTCTATAGTTGCTATGGTAACACAACAACAAAAGTAATTGATCTGTTGTGGTAATTCTATTGTTGCTATGGTAACACAACTAAAGTAACTGATCGCTTGTAATTATATTGTTGCTATGGTAACACGACAACTAAACTAATTGATCTGTTGTGGTAATTCTATTGTTGCTATGGTAACACAACTAAAGTAACCGATCACTTGTAATTATATAGTTGCTATGGTAACACGACAACTAAAGTAATTGATCTGTTGTGATAATTGTACAGTTGTTATGGTGACGACAATTAAACTAACAGACCTGTTGTGGTAATTCTATTGTTGGTATGGTAACACGACAACTAAAATAACTGATCTGCTGTGGTAATTCTGTAGTTGCTATGGTAACATGACAACTAAAGTGATTGATGTTGTGGCAATTCTACAGTTGCTATGGTAAAACATCAAGTGATTTATCTGTTGTGGTAATTCTATTGTTGCTATGGTAACACAACAACTAAAGTAATCAATCTGTTGTTGCAATTCATTAGTTACTATGGTAACACGACAACTAAAGCAATTGAACTGTTGTGATAATTCTGTTGTTGTTATGGGAACACTGTTGTGGTAATTGTAAAGTTGCTATGGTGACACAACAATTAAACTAACCCAGTAGACAAACATCATCATAAGACGTTAACATTAGGTTAGATTTAGGTTCTGATGTCAGGTGACCAAAACTCAATGTCCAGCCAGCGTCTAAGGACAACGTTATTTTGATGTCCAATAACGAGGACAAATTACGTTGATATTTGGTTGATTTTAGGTTGTGTTGGAAAGTGACCAAAATCTAATGACTGATGTCCACACAAGGTCGAATTGTAACATGATTAGATGTTGATATTTAGTTGATTTTAGGTTGATTTTAGGTTGGACAATTGGTTCTGATGTCAACCCGATTTTCAATTCCAAACAAAATTCAACGTCCCTGCGATGTTGAGATACGTTTGGGTACAACGTCAATATGACGTCATGTTGACATCCTATGCCTGCAGGGAACTGATGTGTGTGATAATTCGGTTGTTGCTATGGTAACACAACAGCTGAAGTAATCGATCTGTTGTGGTAATGCAATTGTAGCTATAGTAACACCAATTTGCCCCAAAAGCTTTAAGATGTCTTGTGAACAGGCCCAGTTAATTTATTTAGCAAGTTTTTACTGTGTTTGCTGCACTTTGGATCAAATAAATGCATGCTTTAGGAAACATTCACAGTCTTACTGTCCTCAAGAAGTGTATATTTTACAAGGATTTGTGTGCATTTAAGCAGCTTTTGGGCTGTAAATCTGGCAACCCCTCGGCCCATTCCTGGCAACGCATCGGCACGGCTCCACTCTGAGCAGTCTTCCAGAGTGTGGCTGTGTCTGCAGCGAGGCTCAGAGCGTCTGCCGGTGGACGGCTGTGTAATCTCTCAGGGATGTAACTCACACATTAATGTTCTCATTCACACATTAGGCACAGATAAATGAGTTCTGCTCTTCCAGATGCCACACAGAGCGCACCGCCACACGCCCGGGTTCAGTCTAACTCTATTACTGCGCTGTGTGTGTGAGCGCGTCACAAAAAACCTCATTATGTGGATATATAATGCCAGAAATATTACAACAGCGCCACTAATAACTCAGACGCTGAACGCACGGCTCAATACTGCACAAATAAACATCAGAACACTGCGTCTGACAACATGATTACACACTCACTATACATTAGCACAGCACTGACAGAGAGAGAGAGAGAACACACACACACACACACACGCGCACACACACACACACACACACACACACACACACACACACACACACACACACACACACACACACACTGTTATTATTATTTATTATTGTTATTATTTATTGTTATTATTTATCATATTATTATTTATTATGATTATTTATTATTATTATTATTTATTATTATTATTATTATTATTATTATTATTATTATTATTAATAATATTTATTATTACTATTATTTAATATTATTATAATTTATTATTATTTATTTAAAAATATTTATTATTATTATTATTATTATTTATTACCATTATTGTTATTATTTTTTATTATTATTAATTATTATTTATTGTTATTATTATTATTATTATTATTATTATCATTATTATTATTATTATTACATGCGCTATAGGGGAATTGGGTAGGCTAAATTGGCCTTAGTGTATGAGTGTGTGTGTGTGAATGAGTGTGTATGGGTGGTTCCCAGTACAGGGTTGCAGTTTGACATATTTGCTGATAACTGTTTTTTGCTTTTTGGGTTCTGATTGTAAATTAAAGCAGTGTTGAAGTGAAAGTCTCTCTCTTTCTCTCTCTGTATGTTCAGTGTGGTTCAGACGGGCATCGCTGCAGAGCATTATGGGTGATGATGGAGAAATCCACATTGGATCAGCATCGTATAAGATCTGCCCAGTGGCATCACACATCTGCACAGAGCAGAACTACAGCTGAAGATGCACTCCAGATGACTGATCTCAGACCTGCTGTCGTAATCAGCTAATGCCACTGAGCGCTTGCGTCTGTGTTTGTGCGCTCACAGCATCAGATGAAGGCTGTTTATTATATTAATCTGAACATATATTGCTGGAAACACTAGACTGACACAAGCTGAGGGAAATAGACACGAGTACTAATAACAACATCTACAAACATCAGTGAAGATCAGGAACATCTGCTGCTGCCTGGACATGTCTCCTGTTTTATAGAAAGCTCATACTTGATCATATCGACTGCAGCGTTTCTCTGCCATCTGTCAGTGTGTGT